TATTTATTTTATGCCCACAATCTTATTTATAAATATATTTGTGCTGATAAGCCTGAGTGGTCTGTTGACTGACCTTTGTATTTGTTCAAATAATTGTTATGGGCAGGTTACAATATAAAAATGTTTGTCATAATCACGTCTTGTGATTATTTGACAGGAGTTTTACTTTTAAAGTGTAAGTGTATTTAATTTAGTTATGTTAGTTATGATAGTTTAGTTATGATGTAAATACAGTAAAATTTAAACCAAGATTTAGAATAATTATCATTTTGATCCATACATTGTAATGTCTGACTGGGCCTCGTGCCACTTTATGTTCAACAAATTGGGCCCCGATGTCAAAAAGGTTAAGAACCCCTGGTTTAAAACCTACAGGGTGATGGCCAGCAGGGGGCAGCAGATGACTGACCTTCAGTATAATGTAGGATCCTCTCCAGCAGCACGGGGTATTTAGTGATTCTTTGAGTCACCAGCAAGATGCACTCTGGGATTTCTCTCCGCCGCACCAAAGAGTTACTGACTTGTTGCTTTAAAGAAGTAAATGGAGAATTATGCTTCTTGTCTTTTTGCTGAAGGCTTTTGTTTTGAAAGGGAAAATATATTTAAATACCTTAATGAAGCTCTGAAATCTTTTGTTGTGTTGCTGGAGCTCCTTGAAAAAGCTGACCGCCTCATTGTGACGACTGCAGAAGTCTCCGTAAATCTGCTTCATTTTGTCCCCGTTGTCATCTGAAAACTGCAGAACGTCTCATTTTAGCAGCAGAATCTGTAAGTCTCACCACCATGTTGTCCCAGGAACCCAACTGACCTGCTGGAGCAAAATGTCTCCAATGGTCTGGATCAGGTAGTTCCTGTGCCCTTGGGGCTGTGCTGAGTTCTGTCGTCGCTCCTTCATGGCAGCGAAGAAGGCGTGATGGAGGAGGAGCAGCTGGTCCAGGCAGGGGAACACCTTCTCCACGGCTTCTTTGTCCAGCTGCACCTCCTCCATCATCCCCCGCCTGAAAACCTCGGCCATGATGTGCAGAACCTTGAAGTGGTGGAGCTCAGTCTGCATCAGCTCTGCAACGGTTAACGGTGAACGTTTGTGAAGAGAAAACCCCTGATTTTCAAACAGTGACATGTGGCAATCGCATTTTAAAACAAAAGACAAGGAAGTGCTCACCGTAGATAACGTCCTGCCTCTTGACAACCCGTTTGTCCTGCTTCTTACAGAAACTGTGCTCAACTATCAGACTCCACGATTCAGACTCATAATCTGCAGAGTCAGCAGAGATGTCGCCAGGACTGGGAATAAATGAGTCCACACAGTCTGTGGGGACAACAGGGTGCAAAAATGATTTTGAATTAAAGTTATCAATCATCACTAGTCACAATATCTTAGAGAGAAGGCTGTCACTGGTTTCAATTTACTGCTTTTTTCTCTGGCATTTATTACAAAAAGTAATGTTAGTCTCAACAGCAGAAAAAAAAGACATATTTTTTTGATTTTCAAATGAAAAAGACACACGAGTACCAGTTTGTTGGTATTCTGCAGCAAGAAAACAAATTTTATTTGTGTTCCAAACAGCCAATGAACCTAGTGCTGGGCGGTATACCGTTTTGTACCGAATACCGTTTTTTCTTTTTGTTATTATATGAATTTTTTGAATACCGAACATTCCAGTTTAAATAGCGGAATGTTTCGTCGTGGCCGCCAGTGAACTGTTGTTTCCCGGGGGACATTTTTCCTTGCTGCACCGCTATGTGCGTTAGCATGCTAATATTTGGAGCAGCTAGTTGCAGCAGCGGGTGGTGATTCCGCTGTTTATATTGACCGACGTTTAAAAAAACATCCCGTTTTCACCGTCGCTGAATGTAGTAAACACCTCTTCAGTGATGTGCACAGTTAGATTTAACGTGGTTAGTTAATATGGAGACGTTATGCTGATGGAGACTTAACGTGGTTCTATTGTGAAAAGCCCGCAGGAAGTAGTTCGTAGTGGAGTTGGAATTGACTGGTGTGCAAGGTGAGTCGTGCTGATAAGCTTTAATAAATAACATAAAACAATAAACCCGATCATAATCTTTTCTTAACCCTCCTCCTTCACGACTGGACCAAAATGCATGACTACTGTCTCCAACCACCAGTCAGAAGAACAGACACAGAGGAGGGAAACAGAGACACAGACAGAGGTACAGTAAAAGAAAAAAAGTCAATAAGCAGGGTTTGTACATTTTATTATCAGCTGAGCTGTGATGAAAAGAAAAATACCGTCAAATACTGTGAAATTGTTGAAAATGTTGAAAATACTGTGATATAAAATTTTGATCATATCGCCCAGCTCTACAATGACCCTTTTCAGACATTCTCTAAAATCTGTCGTGCAACCACACCTGGCAATAAAATCTACCCCAATGTTTTTGAGATCAGCCAACCCAAGTCTAGCCTGGTAAAAACCAGACCCTTGTCCTTCGCTTTGCTTCGAACGAGGGTCAGGACGCTCTGCTATAGAGAAGGGATTCTTGCAGGAGGCGTGGCCTCTGCTGAAGTTTGAAACGAATGGATCAGTTGGCTGCGACGCATGTCGTTGTGACGGAGGCTAAGCTAAGAAGCTAACCGGAAATTGCATGTGCTGTAAACAACTGACGTACCGAGCTGAACGAGACAACTGTAAATGAGAGCTGCTGCTTTGTCAGACAAATTTAATTTAATTTGGAAGCCTTATCAACACAGACTGGCTTCATTCACTTCCTCCACTGCCGTATGCTAAAATGACTAGCAGACACTGCAGAAAATCAACATCGTTCATAACTCCTCCTTCTGTTTGCTGATTGGCCCAGGTAAAATAAACTACAAGCTGACTTGTTATTCCTCTTAGGAAAAGTGCTGTTGGCACCTTTTCTGTTCGAGCTGCCACTGAAAGGAATCTCATTATAACACATTTTAAAATATTGTTAAAGAAATGGCTTATTGATAATCAGAGCTGTCAACATTAGGTTACAATTAGACCAGCTCTTGGTCCCCTCAGTTGTCATCTTGTCTCATGTGTGGGTTTATTGTTTTGTTTGATGTTTTCTACTAGTTGGTTTGTGTGTTTTTATTTGCATTTAACTTAAAGTATTTTGAAGTGTATTGTAACTGTTATTTTGTAATTATGTAGTTTTACATTTAATATTTTAGGGTGACTTTTACCATCTGTCTAAGTGAAAAATAGCCTTCTGGCTAATTCTGGCATGTTTACAGAAATGTTATTAATATGCACTGTCCCTGTAATAAAAAAAGGTTTAAAAAAAACACTGCGCAGCGTACATTCTATCCATTCTATATGATGTAAATTTATATTTTCTCTTGTTTTTCTCATATTTTAACCAAAATACATAACTAAACTGTTTTCTTCCAGCAGGAAAAACAATCTTTGCATTGATTTGTTAAATCCACAAAAATGACCAAGGCTTATTATTCTCATACCATCTCCAAAGAATGATTCGTTGGAGGCAGAGGACACCGGGGTTGGCAGGAGCTCTTCTGAATGGCTGTTCAGTTTCAGGGCATCAGATTCTGTCTCTGAACTCTCGCTGAGCAGACTGCAGCACAGAGGAAATCACATGCATCTATCATTCCCAGTCTGATCCCACGATTTGATTTAATAACGGGTGAGTAACCTGTCGCTGGTGGGGAGACTCCCAGAGAGAGAGCAAGACGATGCCACTGATTCCTTCTTCTCCTTTGGGATCATGACGGGTTGAGAGGAAGAAATATGGATCATAGACTGAGTAGGACTGTCTCTTACTGTGAAGTCTGAGGGTTAGAGCGGAGCAGACATTTAGTTTTATTGCCGTGACCATGTGTATTCATAATTATGCAAAAATGTGAATTTACTGGTCCTCTTATTGTCCTCAGCCCTGAGCTTCTGTTTGGTGTGCATTTTCAGTTTCCCATAGCTATTTATTGGCTATTTGTAAAACTGCACCAACATACATACATACGTACATATATACATACATGCATATATACAAACACACATACATAAATACATACATACATACACACACACACACACACACACACACACA